CCAAGGGTCTTTCGCCCGGAATAACCTCGTTCCCAAGCACTATAACTTATCTATATTTCTATATCTTCATAGAAATCACGACCGTGAAGAGTTCTGTAAATCAGATACAGAATCCTGTTCATTTGCATAAACTTCAAGATGGATTTTCTTGGCCAGATTCACTTTAATTTTGAAAATTTTAGCGAAACACAAAGGAACTAACCTAGACGTTTGATAAGTAATCTACAGTATTCGTGTCCGTGTTGTATCCAATATACAAACTCTCGGCTACGCCTCGCTATATACTTAGCATAGTACACGAAGCCTCGCATGAAAACCTGTAAAGAAGTTAATAGAATAGCCAAGGGATTATGATTAAAACGAAGTTACGTAAGAGGGATCAACTATAAGACAAAACATTGGTGAAAAAGATACATCACCAAATGAAAGAATTAAGTAAGCCGAATTAAGAGAAAAAGAAAAAAAGCAAGTTGACTTGAGAGGTGAAAACTAGAGCAGCGAAGGAACAAAACAGCAGAGAAGGACCAGAAACAACAGAGAAAGACCAGTTTGGACAAGGCACAAGAAGAAGAGAGAAATACAGAATAACACGAAAAAGGACAAGCAAGAAGGACAATAAAATGAACATTGTTTAGAGTGAAAGCATTTCAGTTATATTATACGCCTATTATTCGTACTATTTGAATTAATTTAATTATAAAGAARTATTTCCTACATATAAGTTCATCTAAATAGCGACTATTTAAGTTGATGAGATCAATAAAGTTAGTTATTAACCCGAGTTAATTACCGAGAACGGAGGCAATAAGCCATATACATCCCGAGGGCCACAGGCCCGAGGGATGTATAGGCTTATTGCCGACGTTCGAGATAATTAAATATTTTATTTATCAATTGAGGTTTTCTATCAAATATTGCTCATTATAAATGCGAACGGTCTATATATAGTTATTAACCGGGTTAATAACTATATATTGACCTCGCATTTATAATGATGGTTATAACTCGGGATGTATATGGCTTATTGCTTCCGCTCTCTTACATATATTGACCTCGCATTTATAATGAAGGTTATAACAAAAATAAAGCCTTGTGAATAACAAAGAAAACCGTGTCAATTGAGAAATAAGATCACTGAAACTATAGATTAAAAAGAACTAGTATTCAATCTTGAGTCAAGTTGCCGTTCCCAAGAGTCATGTCTTGTGCGTGACAAGCGAATCATATTTCGGAAGTGGGCTACTAATTACCGACAAAGCAAGAGGTTTTAAGAATATTTTTCAGTTACCAATTCACCACTTTCCATACATCAGTTCACTGGTCAAACACAAAGCATTCAGTCGAGGTTGCAAGGTTCAAATTTGAATAATCCTTTGAAAGTACCTTGGCGCCTCGCTTGAGCGCTTTGTGTTTGACCAGTGAACCAATGTATGGAAAATGGGGACTTCAAATTAAGACACCACTTCTTAGCAGCGGTTTCATTTCGAGTCCACACTAGAAGTAGTGTAGAGCGGCCAAAGACGAGAATGGGAAGCCCAATACATTAAAATAAGACAAAAACGAAAAACAGGGAAGATGGACTTGGGAAAAGAGGACACATGTTCTCAGTCTATCTTGGTCATTTATATTCTAAACACCACAGGTAGCCCGCCAAAGAAAGATTCCAGAAACCCCAAAGCAAAGAGAGAGGTCCGTAGAGGAGACAAGGTGATGGACGAGCCCTCGTCATGTTTGTATCTTGTCCTCCTTCAGCGGTGACTCTGAGATATAAGAATCCAAGATCTCGAAAATATGATTTTTTGAATGCCTCGATGTTTGAAGATATGAGTTCGAGAAATCTTTTGCTGAAATGACTGACTTGCATTCTACTTGAAGAGACGTAAAGCCTGCCCAACCATCCTAGAAGGACGATCAAAGCATATGTTCAAGTATGGTACGTGGCTTATATTTATATAGTATGCTGAGATACCTGTG